AAAAAAAAAAAAAAAGAAGAAGAAGAAGAAAGTAAAGAAAATACAGCTCAGCCTTTATTTGTGTGTGTTTTTTTTTGTTCCTTTTTTTTCTGAGACAGTTTTTCACTCTGTTGCACAGGCTGGAGTGCGGTGGTGCGATCTCTGTTCACTGCAATCTGCACTTCTTGAATTCAAGCAACTCTGTGCCTCAGCCACCCAAGTAGCTGGGATTACAGGTGCGCGCCAGGCTAATTTTTGTATGTTTAGTAGTGACAGTGTTTCGCCATATTAGCCAGGCTGGTCTCGAACTCCTAGTCCCAAGTGATCTGCCCACCTCAGCCTTTCAAATTGTTGGGATTACAGGCGTGAGCCACCACAGCCGGCCATGGCTCAGTGTTAATGGTCAGTTCTGGGTGGTAGAGATGCAGATGTTAAAACTTTTTTTTTCTTTAATTCATAACAAAATAGAAGCAAACCTATAAACGCTATTGTAGGAAGACCAGTCATACTAACTAGTTCAGTGCTCTTGGAGAGTTGGCACTGCCTTTCCTCCTTTATTGCCCCAACTAGAATGCAGGGCAGCCCTTCCATTAAATGCTGAGCCAGTGCCTCACTTTGCTGAGGCCATAACCCACCTTAGTTGCACTTAAGAGGACCCTAAATCATGATTCCTGGTTCTAGAGTGTGGATATCATGCCCAGAAACACCACCCTACTTTTAATCCTAGTAAGGAGGCACCATGTCCCAAGGCAACTAACGCTTCCCCCAAACCATCTCCTTCAGGCTGAAACCAGTTGTCTGCACCGAGCAGCTGGGATAGAGCCAGGAAATACTCGGCATCTGAGGATACTGAGGGTTCTCTGACTTAGGACTTCTTCACCTGAAGTTGAGTGGTTTTTGGGGAAGTAGGCCTGTTTAGCATCAGCTGCTCTTCCCTATTCCACACTGTAGGTGGAAATAGGACCTTAGGTTCCTGTTGACAAGTCATTTACTTTTAGCCCTGAAGAAATAAAAGAGCCAAGTGTTTTGTGTGTGTGTGTTTTTTTTTTTTAAAGCAAGGGAATTTTACTAGAACCTGTAAGTGGGCTCATTTTGTTCTGTGTAGCTTGGTAACACCATACTGCTTTCTGCTGTGGGGCCTGCTGGGGTTAAAGTGTGGGCTTCAGACCCAGGTCTCTTAGCTAGAAGATATCTCATCCTCTGTATCCTGCACCCATATGCAAATTTGCTATTGTCATTATCCTTAACTGTATATGAAGACGGACGGTGCCTACTCCAGACTTTACTAGGTTCTGCTGGCCCATCACCCATTTTGATCATGTTGCTGGCCTAGTTTGATTAGGGCAAATCTTAGAAATTCCATTTCCATTGTTGAGGAAGAGAGCTAGAGAGCAGGCTGACCCGAATGCCAGAATATCATGATGCAAACTTTCTAATGGATGCTGGTGTTCTGAAGAGTTGAGGGTTGAAAGGCCTTCATGATGGCTTGAAGATGTAGGTAGCAAACTGACGTCACAGCAAGGAACGCAATCTTGTGTACCTACTGGCAACGTTGGAGAGAGAAAGTGAGCATCAGGTGCCACCATTTTACAGTTGATCTGTGTGAGGTTGGTATCGGAGCATAATTGGTACAAAGTAAAAATGACTTAGGCAGATGCAGACTCACAGGCCAGGCTGGTTTATTAGGGCAGAATGATTTGGTCCTTTGTGAAAGAATTGGTGGAGTGAAGCGTGAATCTTTCCCAGCGCAACCCAACAACAGTCCTGGCCCTAAGAAGTGGAGCATGGGAGCTGGGTGTGGTTCGTGCCTGTAGTCCCAGCTACTTGGGGTGCTGAGGCTGGAGGATCGTTTTGAGGGTGCAGTGAGCTATAATATATAATATAATATAATATAATATAATCATACCACTGCACTCCAGCCTGAGTGACAGAGTGAAAGCCTGTCTCAAAAAAAAAAAAAGGTTGGAGTGGGGAGTGTTGGGTGTTTTTTATGATTTTTGTCTCCTGGTTTCTGAAGAATGGCCGAAAAATTGTGTCTGACACAAAGGAAACTAATACAAAGAGCCAGGAACTGTCTGAGATGAGAAAGGAAAGGGAGAATAGGGCACCTGGAGCTGAGCTGTGATTGTGCCTGTTCCAACCTGTAACTCCAGACTAAGGCCTCTTAGAGATGGTGTCTCCTTTCTCACAGAGGAGACATGGCTCTGAGGAAGATCTTACTGCAGGGGCTGGGGCTCAAGAATAAGGCTCCTGGACCTGGGCACGGTGTGTGCTGCTATCAGTGGATACGCCAGGCTTCCACTGCTGGCTGGAGGTTGGCTCTGCATGTCTGTGCCTTCCTAGGAGGAGGATGCAGTAGTGAGTCAGACTGGCATGGGTGGGGCCACATGTCCTGGCAGGCACTGTCCGGGCAACTGGCATGAGGGAGAGGAGTCTTTCCCAGAAGCCCGCCCTGAGAAACCAAGACTGGGCTGCTTTCCTGGAGCCAAGGGAGAGTCCAGTGAATGTTTTACATACAACTCTAGGTAGGTGGTTGGTGGTGTGGGCAGCTTGTGCTGGGAAGAGGATTTTGGAGAAAGCAGGAGAGCTCTGGCCCTCCCTGCAAGGGAGGCTTCAGGTCAGAGCCTGAGGAAAGACCTGAGCTTGAGGTATGGGGTCTCTGGCTCGAAGAGAGCATTAAGGATGCATGAGATCTGAAGTCTGGATGAACTTGCTGACAGGCAAGCTTTTTTTTTTTGACTGCTAGTGTGTAAATCCACTATAGAAATTTTCATTTGTCATTCTTGTACTTATTGGCCAAAAATTAGAGCTTATAGGCATCAGATTTAATTTGAGATAGTTGAAATAGGGTTTGTGTTTGAGGCCAATATAATTTTATCTGCTAATGGCATCTTCTGGACTTGGAGGCAGCCCTTCTGTACCAGAACATTGTCACAAAGCTTTTACTGTAAAGCTTGAGAACAGACTAGTTTGCTGGATTTGGGCATGTAACTAACAGATTTGAGGCATGGGATTATCCTATGGACTTTTTTTTTTTTTGCTTTGAGGTTCTGACTATATTAAGGTTGACCACTTTAAGCCATTGAAACTCTCCTATAATACATTTGTGATGTAGGGCCTAAGACATGTTTGTTTGGTTTTTTTTTTGAGACATGTATCTTTGCTATCTTTTAAAAGCAGATTATTCTTGAAGTGCATAGAGCAGCAACCGATTAATGGAATTGGTATCTTCACATTTCATTTACTTCCTCCCAACAATTTTATAGGATGCATATAAATATTTCCAAAAAAGGTATACATAATTTCTTACTATAAAAGTATTTTTATTTTATATCAGTAAATTTGTTAATAAAGAGGAATTTTTGTTGTTGTTGTTGTAATCCTACCACCCCAATGACATCCTATTAAAATATCAGTATATATCCTCCCAGGTCTTTCAGGTATGTTTAATTTGGTGTCCCTTCCCCACTCCCAAAAGGGGAGGGACTAGGTTCTTGTATAGAATAGTGGAATGTTAGTAAATCACGTGTTTAAAGAGACATAACAGCTGAATCTGTAGAGCAGCTGCCACCTGGATACCTGGTTATTAAGGTAATTTTTCCATTACCCCAAAGAGCTTTAGTTACACTCAGCTTTTACCTTAATCCTTGTACAGCTCTCCAGGGCACACTTTATTCAGCTCTGAGCGGTCTTTGCAAGTGAGGTCAAGGAGCCAACCTGAGCCAAAAGGAGAGCATTATGTCACCGGAAGCCCAAGCTCAGAGAACCAAAGGTATGACCTGATATTCAGTGGCCCCAGCCAGGTCTTTACAAGAAGACCCTGATATCTCAGGTCTAAGAAGAGCCAGCTGATGGTTTTTAAAAAGAGTGGAATTAGTTACTCTGGCCCACTTATTCAGATCTTATTTTGTTCACAATGTAGTCCCCAGATTGTAGGCCCATTGGAGGCCACAGCAAGGCCTTTGTGTTCCAACTGGCCTGCTGTGCCATCTCTCAGTAATGTTCCCTTAACAGCCAGACTTCCCTAAGCCCAGCTGGGAGCTCTGAAGGTATGCGAGCCCCCCCTTAACCATGAGTGTAGGGAGAGGGACCAGGGCGCCCCAGGCTTTCCTGTCAGTAATGCAGAAGTTTCTCAGATTTAGGGACAGGGGAGCAGAGGCATAACTTTGATTCTGACAAAGAGGCATTCAGAGAGACTGAAAGGTCATTTAACAAACACTAGAATGCTTCCACTTACTAGGTGCTAGGAAATACAAAACCATATAGGTCCTGGAAGAGAGGATACATAGTAGATATTAGAGGCTTAGGAAATACAGTTGAAATGAAGAGTGGATTTGCCACGTTGAATAATTAGTTGGTATCTTATTTCCCCATTTTAAAAGTTTTAGAATCTGTGGTTGAGGACTTGTGGCCATCAGTTTTCCATAGCCGACAGACTGTTCACTATTGCCTTCAGAGCTCTTTGGACCTTAACAGGCCTTCTTTGGAGATGGCAGAGATGGGTTTAGATGCATACTTTGCTAGAGCCACCCAGAGAGCCCACAAAGTCAGGGATGGAACAGGGTAAAGGAGTAAGGGTCATATGTGTGAGATGCCTTGATTTGGAACTTTGAGATTTAGGAAGAGATGGGGAAGGGCTAAAGAGGGACTTGTTTCTGAGCCTTGCTTGGCTGAAGCATTTAGGCTAAAGCGTTTTAGAAAGAGTAGCTGTTGGTCTGAGAACTCAAGGAAACAACTTTCTGATGAGAAATGTAGCAAGCTTCTGGTTCACATCCTTACCTGATAGTTCTTCAAACACTGCCTGGAAGCTTCTCCTGAGTCTTTGTCTCTAATCAGCTAACTAAGAGGCTGAGCGAGTTTAGTTGTAAGTCATTAATGAAGAAAGCAAAGGTCGGGGCCATTGTCAGGATTGTGACCTGGGCTAGTTAATTACCTGGAACTGATGGTCTGTGTTACAGAGTGGTGGTATACTTGTCAGGCTTAGAAAAGAAAACAGGATGTGTATCAAAAATCTTTTGGGGAAAAGATTTGACCAGCAACTTTAATTTCTCTATGTTGCAGCTATCCTGTTAATGTAGTTGTGATAATTTTAGAATTATACCAGTGCCCTTATGTTATCCTTGCTTTGCAAATTGCAAATTGCTTTACGTGTCCTAACGTCCTTCTGGCCAACAGTAGATGTGGTTTTAGGTTTAGACTCCTGGGATGGAAGCTTTTGCATTCAGGGGAATGACTTTGGGTTGGGTGAGGATTGTAGAGGCAATGTGGGTGCCCCACGACAAAGCAGCTATTTGTAGCTTTGTGACAACTTGACATACAGAGATCTAGGCTTATCTAGGCACTAAGCTAGGAGTCAGTTGTTTGTATCACTGGAAGATTGGTTATAACTTCCTTCGTTGGAAGCTCCTTCATTGCATGTTAAATGATGTTATTTATAGATAGGGTGGTGGGAAAGCTGTCTAAGTAGATGTCAGCCCAGTGTAAGAGAGACCTGCTTACTGTGGGTGCTTGGGACTGTCAGCAGTAGGTGGGAGGTTTTAACTTGTTCAGTAAGGTCCATTTCCATTGTTCACCATCTTGTGAACCCTTTGTCTAACATGAGGAGCAACCACATAACCACAGCATGTCTGGCTTCCCTGTGGCTTGTGTACAAAGCGTGCTTATTGAGTTAATGCATAAGCAGGAGACACCCTCCTGTGATAAATGGTATATTAACCACTTCTCAGTCTTACCACTCTCTTTCAATTTGTCTGGACCCAGGACCTCAGCAGCCATGTCAAAGCCCCATAGTGAAGCCGGGACTGCCTTCATTCAGACCCAGCAGCTGCATGCAGCCATGGCTGACACATTCCTGGAGCATATGTGCCGCCTGGACATTGACTCACCACCCATCACAGCCCGGAACACTGGCATCATCTGTACCATTGGTGAGTGGGTGTGCCCCTTCCCCAAAAAAAGGGCTTCGTGGAAAGTGACCCTTTCTCTCCTGAAAAGACTTAACTAAATGTCCTAACAAACCTAGGTGCTACATGGGATGCTACACAGATTCTCATAAAAGGACTCAGGTCATAGGAAGTTGCAGTAAAGAATTAGTATGTGCACAGGATGGCAAATACAGTTAATAAGAGAGTATTAGACATTTCAAAATTGCTAAGATGGCCAGGTATGGTGGCTCCCAGCACTTTGGGAGGCCAAGGTGGGAGGATTGTCTGAGGCTAGAAATTTGAGACCAGCCTGAGCAACTTAGACCCTATCTCTCCAAAAAGTAAAAACAAAAGAAAAAAAAAATTAGCTGGGCATGGTGGGCATGCACCTGTAGTTCTGACTACATGGGAGGCTGAGAAAAAGATCACCTGAGTCCAGGAGATTGAAGTTGCAGTGAGTCGTGATCACACCACTGCACTCCAGTCTGGGAAACAGAGCGAGATCCTGTCTTAGGAAAAAAAAATTGTCTGGGTGTGGTGGCACATGCCTGTAATCCCAGCACTTTGGGAGGCTGAGGTGGGCGGATCACCTGAGGTCAGGAGAACCAGCCTGGCCAACATAGTGAAATCCCATCTCTACTAAAAATAAAAAAAAATAGCCGGGCGTGGTGGCAGGTGTCTATTATCCCAGCTACTTGGGAGGCTGAGGCAGGAGAATCGCTTGAACCTGGGAGGTGGAGGTTGCAGTGAACCGAGACCTGACCATTGCACTCCAGCCTTGGCAACAAGAATGAAACTCTGTCTCAAAAAAAAAAAAAAGAAAGAAAAAAGAAAAAAGCATTGCTAAGAGTAAATTTCAAATGTTCTCACCACAAAAATGTTAAGTACTTGAAGTCATGGATATGTTAACTAACCTGATTTAATTATTCCACATTGTATCCAAACTGTATGTATTGGATTACATAACTTTGTAACCCAAATTTGTTGCAAAAAGAATCCATATGCTTTAGGTTTTATGCTATAGGCAAAATTTAGAGGGTGTTTTCCTTAGCAGGTCTTTGTAGGAGCAACTTACAGACCTAGGAAAGATCTTTTTAATATGTTCTATGCAACCAAGATTCTGTGGTTGGACATCTGGCTGGGTTTCAGTGAGGGCGGAGAAGGCTGGCCAAGTCTTAACCTAGGCTTTTCTGATACAGTGGGAGCCTGCAGAATTTGAAGGAAATGGTCGAAGTGTCCCAGTAAATCAAAAAAGTAAGCTGGCACGGTGGTAGCCTTCCATACACTTTTTAAAGACTTTTGAGCTATTTGGGAGAGGAAAAGTTTTCAGGGAAAAAAATTCTTTAAACTTAAGCAAACTTAAATGTTTTTCCTTCTTTGAATAATTAATACTTGTGGCTTTAAAACTTTTCCTAATAGGCCCAGCTTCCCGATCAGTGGAGACGTTGAAGGAGATGATTAAGTCTGGAATGAATGTGGCTCGTCTGAACTTCTCTCATGGAACTCATGAGGTGAGCTGTAGCTGGACCCTGTGGCCGTTGTGATGGCCTGTAGGAAACAGGGAGCTGGTGCAGTGTTCATTTAGCCACACCGGATTAGGCAAGGATGAGTCTGAGTTTCACAGCCAGTGTGAAGTTTGTCTTTACTAGCCCATCCCTCCTCTCCTTCCCTCTTGTCCTGGCGAAGAAACTGGCTAAGTCTCTTTTAGCAAAGAAGACCGCTTTTGTCGCTGGCCATGTTTCTCTCACACACCTCTCCTACCGTTAGCTTTCACAAAGGAAGATATGGAAAGGTTCTCCTGGAAAACCCTCTAAGCCTTAGATGTCCTGGCCACAGCGCTTGACCCTCCTGTCCCCGGGTTTCTGCTACAGCCTGTATTGCCATGGTAAACCATCTAGCAGATCGATTCTGGCCTATCTTAGAACCAAAATAACTGGGCAGGTCCATGAGAAGAGTTTCCATTATTCTAAGTTTTGAATGACTGAGCCTAATGCACAAGCACTCGCTGGCGTATAATACCCCTCTTCCTCAGCACTATATTCCCAGCCTGTGCCTTCCCAGGAGTTCTGTACATTAAAATAACACCAGTTAGCACTCTTCCTCAGGAGCCTAGTAGGACTGTATTTGTGATGGGCTCTTTATTACCTGGCTTTACCTATGGACAGAGGCCTTGCCCAGGAGCCAGGTAGCAGCTGTCAGGATGGCTCCATTCCTGCTTCTGTTGCCAGATTTAGAATAAACCCATTCTGAGGAGTTTGGGGTTCCCTGAGGTACCATGACTTACTTATTTTTTTATTTTGTAAGACAAAATTTTGCTGTGTCATCCAGGCTGGACTACAGTGGTATGATCATGGCTCACTGGATCCTTGACCTCCAAGGTTCATGTGATCCTCTTGCCTCAGCCTCCCAAGTAACTGGTAATACAGGCATCCACCACCGTACCTGGCTAATTTAAAAAAAAAATTTTGTGTAAATGAGGTCTCACTACATTGCCTAGGCTGGTCTCAAACTCCTGGGGTCAAGTGATTCTCGCAAATGTTGGAATTAGAGGAGTGAGCTACTACCCCCAGCCTGGGATTGTGCCTTTTTAAAACCTTCAGACTTAACCATAGATTTCCCATAGATCATGGGATTTCGTAATGGCATTGATAAGAGGAATCACAGAAGAGGCAGACTTTGTCCCTGTCTTGGCTTCTGTATTTCCTGTTGAGAGTAAAGAAAATGCTACCCTGTAAGGCCAAGTGCCTTATAGAGGTTGCCCTCTGGCATTTGGAAGTTGGTATTAAGTTTGGACTAAAAATAAAGCCTCAGGAAATGCAGTCCAAGAGTGAATTCCTCCTTTTGGGAAACTTGAGACTCTTCATCATAGGTTCCCTAACCTGTGTTCATAAACAGCCTATGGCCTGGCTAGTGGCTGGCCCCTAAATGTCATGGGGACCTGACCAAGTCCAGCAGACATACCACGCAGGTTAAGACATGTCCCTGTACCTTCTGGAAAATTCTGTAGTTTTCCAAAAGCAAGGGGTCCTTAGCAGGAGTCACCGAGAATTACTACACGTGTTAGCTTAGCTTAAAGAGAGAGAGCTGAAGACAATGGTGGAGGTCTGTTCACTGTTGATCCCTGCTGCTGTAGTCTGCCGTGGGCTCCTGCGTTCAGGGAAAGGAGCAGAAATAGATTTTTAAGAAGCTGACCTTTAAGTAGGCTTTGTGGTTCCTTCATCCAGTAAAATAACACCACATAGCTCTTACATGGCAAGGGGGAGTGATATCTGCTGCACCTGCTGGATGAGAGCTCCGATTTTGGTTTTTTAAACTTTAAGAGGCTTTTTGGAGATTATCTCTGCTTTCACTCCTACTCCCAGATTATAATTAAGATTTTTTTTTTAATTTTTTAATTTATTTTTTAAAGATGTCCCTCTTGTGGGTTTATTTTGAAGTTTTAGACCAAGATGAAGTTGTCTCTGGGCTCAATTTGGAAACTGATTTGAAGTTATTCTAATTTGTATAATGTAACGTAAACAGTTTCAACCTTACCGTTTGTCAGGGCTGTTGTTTCATATGCACCTTTGTCTAGGGGCTGGGATGTACTTTTCTAGTTCCTGACTATTTTAAATGCCCTTCTGAGCAGAACATTGAGATTACTGTCTTCCCTCTCACTCTGACAGAGGAACATCAAATGTCTGCATCTGATCTTTTAACAGCTTTCTTTTTTTGAGACAGAGTCTTGCTCTGTTGCCCAGGCTGGAGTGCACTGGCACGATCTCGGCTCACCACAACCTCTGCCTCCCAGGTTCAAGCAATTCTCATGCTTCAGCCTCCTGAATAGCTGGGATTACAGACCTGTGCCACCATGCCCAGCTAATTTTTAAATATTTTTAGTAGAGACAGGGTTTCGCCATGTTGGCCAGGCTGGTCTTGAACTCGTGACCTCGGGTGATCCAACTGCCTCGGCCTCCCGAAGTGCTGGGATTACAGGCGTGAGCCACACGCCCAGCTCTCTTTTGACAGCTTTGGCAACTAGTCTTCAGCCCTCACTTTTGGCAGTTCACATGGGCAAGATGCATTCTTGCTGAACATGTGGTTCCATATGCCGTGTTTTCCAGATTTATTTATTTATTTATTTAGAGAGAGAGTCTTGCTGTGTCACCCAGGCTGGAGTGCAATGGCACGATCTTGGCTCACTGCAGCCTCCACCTCCTGGGTTCAAGAGATTCTTCTGTCTCAGCCTCCTAAGTAGCTGAGATTACAGGCATCTGCTACCATGCCCGGCTAATTTTTGTATTTTAGTAGAGATGGGGTTTCACCTTGTTGGCCAGGCTGATCTCGAATTCCTGACCTCAAGTGATATGTCTGCCTTGGCCTTCCAAAGTGCTGGGATTACAGGTGTGAGCCACTGTGCCTGGCCTAGAAAAAATGACTTTCAAACAACCTAAATGTAGAGCCTTCCACAGGACAGCATTGATGGATGAAACTCTTTACCATGTAACATCCCAACAAAGCCACAGCTGTAGTAGAAGACTCAGTACACCTCCCAGAAATGCTCTAAGAGATTATAATATATAACATAGATTTGAATAATACACCTAATAATTGGTATGTTTATAATATATAGTTTTACATCCCCAAGACCAAAAATCCATGTTTGTGTGAAACACTCATGGTTACAAATATATATTAGGCCACCAAAAAAACCCCCAAGTTTCATAAAGTAGAAATTATACAGACACATTCTCTGATAAAAATTTTTTAATGGAAATTAAGAACAAAGTCAAGAAAACTAAAGTGTGCTTACTTTAGAAAGCAAAGATCTCAAGGTAGATGGAATAAATATTTAACTCAGAACACTAGGGGGGGAAAACCCTAAAAAGGGTGAAGAAAAATAATTTTGTAAGATTATAGCTCAATGGAATGAAAATAAATTTGACAAATTAAGCTAAGAGCTGATTATTTGTGGGTAAAAAATAGTAAAATAGAAAGTTCTGGGAAGCCAGGTGAAGAATGCAAGGATGTACAAATAAGAGTATGAATAGAAAAGGGAATATTTCCTACACATTGGAGATTTTAAAAGTCAAGAAAGACTTATAACTTAATTCCTATAGAGAGAGATGACACTGGCTATTTTCCAAGAGAAGATTAAATAGCCAAAAAGATAGAAAATATGAATAGACCAGTGGCCATAAGAAGTTGAAAAAGTGGGCTGGGCTCACACCTGCAATCCCAGCACTTTGGGAGGCCAAGGCGGAGGGATCACTTGAGGTCAGGAGTTCGAGACCAGCCTGGCCAACATGGTGAAACCCTGTCTCTACTAAAAATACAAAACTGGCGGGGCATGGTGGCACATGCCTGCAGTCCCAGCTACTCAGGAGCCTGAGGCAGGAGAATTGCTAGAACCTGGGGAGGTGGAGGCTGCAGTGAACTGAGATTGCACCACTGCACTCCAGCCAAAAAGTTGAAAAAGTGGCTAAGATCTGGTTCACCTCAGAACGTTTAAGTCCAAATGATTTTAGTGGCTGAATTGTCTCCCCTTCAAAATTCAGTTACATTGTTAAACTGTTCCAGAGCCTAGAGAAATACAGAAATCTTCCCACTGTGTTCTTTGAAACCAACATACTCTGATACTGAGATCAGACAAGGACAGTACCAAAACCAGGCAGGTACTAACAGCGTGCTAGACCAGTCTCACTTCGATGCAGAAAACAAATAAAATTTAATAATCCAAATCCAGTAGTGATTGAAAGGAATGTCTTGATCCATGACCAAGTAGATTTTATTCTAGGAGCACAAAATTCTACATTAAGATTAAGTAGAGTTAAGGTTGACTTTTTTTTTTTTTTTTAAGACGGAGTCTCACTCTGTCAACCAGGCTGGAATGCAGTGGCACGATCTCGGCTCACTGCAAGCTGTGCCTCCCGGGTTCACACCGTTCTCTGCCTCAGGCTCCCGAGTAGCTGGGACTACAGGCGCCTGCCACCAACGCCTAGCTAATTTTGTTTTTGTATTTTTAGTAGAGATTGGGTTTCACCATGTTAGCCTGGATGGTCTCGATCTCCTGACCTTGTGATCCTCCCTACCTCGGCCTCCCAAAGTGCTGGGTTTATAGGCGTGAGCCACTGCGCCTGGCCTGAGTTAAGGATGACTTTTAAACAACCTAAATGTAGCTAAATATAGAGCCTTCTGCAGGACAGCATTGATGGGTGGAACTCTTTACCACATGATAACATCCCAACAAAGCCACAGCTATGGTGGAACTCAGTCCACCTGAGTCTTACCGTTATAAGATGATAATAATAGGTAACATTTATTAAATAATTACCATGTACTTTGTCCTAATACTTAATATATTCTTTTACTGCTCACATCAACTCTGAAGGAAAGGTACCACATCCCCTTAAAAGAAAACAACTATTTCTATTCTATTCTTTTATTTTTTTTAGAGACAGAATCTCACTCTGTCGCCCAGGCTGGAGTGCAGTGGCACGATCTCGGCTCACTGCAACTTCTGCCTCCTAGGTTCAAGTGGTTCTCTTGCCTCAGCCTCCCGAGTAGCTGGGTCTACAGGTGCGCGCCGCCATTCCCAGCTAATTTTTGTATTTTAAGTCAAGATGGGGTTTCACCATATTGGCCTGGATGGTCTCGATCTCTTGATGTCGTGATCCACCCGCCTTGGCCTCCCGAAGTGTTGGGATTACAGGCGTGAGCCACCGCGCCCAGCCTGTATTCAATTCTATTTTGTTCTATTTCTATTACAAGCCAGTAAGCAAGAAAATATCATAATTTATAAGGAACCCTATAAAAAACAAACAAGCCAACAGTCCCTCAGTAGGGAGTATGCCTGAATAAGAAGCTGAAGATTTTCAGATACAGGCTTCAGGCAACATTGTCTTTAGAGGCTAAGCTCTGGCTCCAGCTCCCTCCAGCATCCTGTGAATAACAGGCAGGCTTACTTGCAGGTGCCGCTTTCCTGGACAGTGGTGGTTAAAGGACAAGGCCCAGAAAGTGCTGAATTAGGTGCCCTTGTTATCAGCAATGTCATATTGATCACGCTGTCTTAGAGCTCTTTCGACATCTTGGCTCTGCATCTTTTTTTTTTTTTTAATCTTTTTTCTTGAGATAGGGTGTTGCTTTGGATAGTAGGGTATCCAGGCCAGAGTGCAGTGGTATGATCATGGCTCACTGTAGCCTTGACCTCCTAGACATAAGTGATCCTCCCACCTCAGCCTCACAAGTAGCTGGGACCCCATGCACGCACCATCATGCACAGTTAATTTTTGTGTTTTTTGTAGAGATGAGGTTTCGCCATGTTGCCCAGGCTCATCTCAAACTCCTGGGCCCAAGCTATCCTCCCACCTTAGCCTCCCAGAGTGTTTGGTTTACAGGCATGAGCCACTGTGCTTAGCCTGTGTCCCTCTTTTAAACAAACAAAATGGTAAATGGAAAGGAGGAAAGGCTTAAGAAAAAAGATTGAAGCACAGATTTGTTGCAAGCAAGGAATAATAAAGGGCAGTTCATTTAGAGAAAGACATGACCACCTTTCCCCGTCTCCAGTCAGAATCTAGAAAGTGATTGAGGCTGGGCGCAGTGGCTCACCCCTGTAATCCCAGCACTTTTGGGAGGCCAAGGTGGGCGGATCACGAGGTCAGGAGATCGAGACCATCCTGGATAACATGGTGAAACCCAGTCCCTACTAAAAATCCAAAAAATTAGCCAGGCCTGCTGGTGGGCACCTGCAGTCCCAGACTGAGGCAGGAGAATGGTGTGAACCTGGGAGGCGGAGCTTGCAGTGAGCTGAGATAGTGCCATTGCACTCCAGCCTGGGCGGCACAGTGTGACTATCTCAAAAAAAAAAAAAGTGATTGAGAAAGTCAGGTCTGTGTGACCTTAGCAATGAGTTATTTAGCTTGGGCCACTGTTAGCTTAAGTCAATAACTTCAAGTTTGCGTTGTAGTTGGAATCAATAGAGGAAAAGCTCTCAGCATTACCACATATATCAGAATGTGACATTGATTGCCAGATCAGCCTTATCCAAACACAAGTTCTAGGCTTTTTGCCCTGTTTATCAGCTTTATTTGCTGAGGGTATTTGATGAGTCTTAGGGAAAAAAGAACAGCCCTGGGGACACAGCTGCTTTTATGATGAGACATGTTTGCACCCATACCTTAATGGGTTTTGGTGGCAATATTCTGAAATTTGCCACCAACGTTTCAAAGATTTGCCCTTAGGGTGAATTACTGCTGTAGTAGAAGTGGGTGGAGGCTGAGGAGATTGGATTAAGCAGGTAGAGGAGTTCTCAGTGCATGGATTGTTCTGAGGATGGAGATAGAGCTCTAAGACATCCACAGGCCTTTCCTGAGTGATCAGCTTTGGCTCCTGGGCAGGGAAATTGAACTGGATCCTAGTGTGGGAGCACGCTTGTCATCTTCCTTCTTTTTCCCCAGTACCACGCGGAGACCATCAAGAATGTGCGCACAGCCACGGAAAGCTTTGCTTCTGACCCCATCCTCTACCGGCCCGTTGCTGTGGCTCTGGACACTAAAGGACCTGAGATCCGAACTGGGCTCATCAAGGGCGTGAGTATTCTGTGGAGAGCAAGGGAAAGACTCAGTAGGCAATATGCCCCAGAGACATGTCCTCCAAAGCGTTGAGATGCCGTGTTTCATCCCAGCACCATGAAGGACTGCAGAGGAGTTGAGGTCTACAAATGAGAATTTATTCATCACTGTAAACAATGTTGATTTGATTTACTTTGCTAGGAAATGGTACCACAGAGGAACCCTTTTTTTACCCTAAAAACCTAAACTTTAGGCTTTCTAACTTGGGGAACCATCTCTTTGTATCTTTTTCCCCATCATTAAGTAGCATAACTGAAACCCTTATATTCTATTTTCTTAGATTATTTCTGTGAAGTGTACTGAGTTAGAGAATAAGAGCAAAAAACTGTATTATTTTTAGCGGTGACTTGAGCATTGTTCCCTGGAGGAAAGAGCTTTTCCATTGCTTCTGCAGTGATGCTGCTACTGGTGTCTCCAGTTTGGACTCTGGCTTACTCTCTTGCTTACTCCCTAGAGCGGCACTGCAGAGGTGGAGCTGAAGAAGGGAGCCACTCTCAAAATCACGCTGGATAACGCCTACATGGAAAAGTGTGACGAGAACATCCTATGGCTGGACTACAAGAACATCTGCAAGGTGGTGGAAGTGGGCAGCAAGATCTACGTGGATGATGGGCTTATTTCTCTCCAGGTGAAGCAGAAAGGTACGTATGGGAGCTGGAATCCAATTGTCTAAAACCCATCTTTTGTCTCTAAAGTTCCTTGACACAAAGAAGATGGGAAGGTTGGTTGCCTGGCAGTGAGATTGAGTCTGTGTGTTCTCAGGAATCCCTTTTATAACTCATTTATCCTCAAAGACAGGCTTTAATCCAGCATAGTTACATTCTTCTGGTTCCGGAGAACATAGGAACATATATATATACACACATATATTTCTTTTTTGAGACAGAGTCTCGCTCTGTTGCCCAGGCTGGAGTGCAGTGGCACGATCTTGGCTCACTGCAACCTCTGCCCCCAGGGTTCTAGTGATTCTCCTACCTCAGCCTCCCGAGTAGCTGGGTTTACAGGCACCCGCCACCACGCCCGGCTAGTTTTTTTGTATTTTTAGTGGAGACGGGGTTTCACCATGTTGGCCAGGCTGGTCTCAAACTTCTGACCTCAAGTGATCTGCCTGCCTCGGCCTCCCAAAGTCAAAACAATCTTAATTCTCCTTTTTTATGGGTGTGGAAAGTGAGGTACAGAGAGGTTAAATGGCTTGCCTAGGATTACACAGTTAGTTGTAGTAGGGTTTCAACTCTGGTAAAACAGCTCCAGCACCCATAATGCACCACTTCCCAGCTCACTGTACTTGGGGGAAAGGTGCCTGCTTCCTGTTGAGCTGTGCCCTCGGTGCTCTGCCTCCCCTGCTTACCCCTTTTCAAAACACAGGTGCTGACTTCCTGGTGACGGAGGTGGAAAATGGTGGCTCCTTGGGCAGCAAGAAGGGTGTGAACCTTCCTGGGGCTGCTGTGGACTTGCCTGCTGTGTCGGAAAAGGACATCCAGGATCTGAAGTTTGGGGTCGAGCAGGATGTCGATATGGTGTTTGCGTCGTTCATCCGCAAGGCAGCTGATGTCCATGAAGTTAGGAAGGTCCTGGGAGAGAAGGGAAAGAACATCAAGATAATCAGCAAAATCGAGAATCATGAGGGGGTTCGGAGGCAAGTCCCCATTGTCCCTGCTCCAGTCCCAGCGCAGCTCTCTAAAGGGCATGGTGCATCCTGTGAATATCTGATTCCCAGCCCCCTAGCCCATCAGAATGTAGACTCCCAAACCTGTTCCAAACCTGCTGAATCACAATATCTTAGTAGAGTAGAAGGCATTGTGTGTGTGTGGGTTTTGTTTTTTTGTTTTGTTTTGTTTTGTTTTTAAAAAGCTTCCTAGGTAATTGAGATGCTGGCAGCTTGACATTGTTCCCTGGGCCTGGGGACCAACATTTGAGAGAACAGGGTCACTGCTCATAGTACCAGGGGCCATGATGCTCTGTTCCTGATCAGAAACACTACCAGTGTTTGTTGGAATGTGGGGACCAGGGGGAAAGATGACAGCAGACACTTAAGAAGGGGCTCGTTTTGGCCCTTCCTGGGGAGCCATGTGGAATTTCAGGGGCTGGTGTCCATGCTAAAACTTATGGCCTCCTGGTCTTCACTTAGAACGCAGCTGGCTCAGTGATCATGCTAACTCTGGTATGGTCCATTCCACTCTCAGAGTAAGATGTGTGGTTCTTCTCCAGGGTCAGATTGCCTCAACTTAGCTTACCCCCTCCGCAGTGCTCACGAGGTAGAGCCCAGTGGGCATGGCCACCATTTTTGGCATCCTGCTAGGAATACAACTTAGCACTACTAAGATGCTAGACCTACGCTTGTGGATTAGGAGTGTGTTTGGGGAGGGTGGGGGAACAACCCTCTGCACCCACTGTAGTGGCCTTACCGTCTTAGCTTTGTGTAGATATCCTCTGTACCAGGCAATTTGGGGCCCTCCCCTTTGCCATCCTGATAAGCTGAACTTGGCGCTAGGCCAGGCAAAGCCACATTCCCTCTTGCCTTCAGCAGGTTGGAGTGGGCCACCTCAAAGGGCAGTCTTCAAGTGTCCTTGACTAGATAAGGCCATGGGTCTTTGTGGTGGAAGCAGTCAGCAGGCCTTGGGTTCCCTGTCTTGAAGTGCTGATTGGAGAATGGAGGCCCCAGAGAGACACCTAACATGCATGGGATTTGGAGAGGAGACCTTGGGAATGAGCCCATTTGGATTTGCCCTCTCCCCTTTCTTCTGTCAATGAAGCATCCATATTGGTGTTGAAGCCCAGCAGGCAGAATTGTTGGCCCGCTCTGGGGGACTAAGGTAGCTGGACTGCCTTGCCATCTGTGTGCATCCATGATGATGTCATGGATGTCTGTCCTGGTACGAGGACATCTAAGTTAGGGAATCCCAGGGAAACTTCTTGTCTACCGGCATACTTGTGGCCCCTGTCTGTATAACCTCTCTCCCCCCAACTTTGTCCATCAGGTTTGATGAAATCCTGGAGGCCAGTGATGGGATCATGGTGGCTCGTGGTGATCTAGGCATTGAGATTCCTGCGGAGAAGGTCTTCCTTGCTCAGAAGATGATGATTGGGCGGTGCAACCGAGCTGGGAAGCCTGTCATCTGTGCTACTCAGGCATGTGACCACCCTTCCCCACATTCTCCTGGGCACACTCACATGTGTGTATGGGAAAGCTCTGGAGGCTGTCTGATCTTTTCCCATGGAATTGTCTCATGTAACACACAGATAATCCCCTTCCCCCATGCACCTACACAAAGCCATGCTCTGTGCACCTACTCACTATCCAGAGGATCAGCGTGCTGTCATTTGTCTCTGAAAACAGCCCAAGCCACATCTCACTAATGCTCTGTTCCTCCCAGATGCTGGAGAGCATGATCAAGAAGCCCCGCCCCACCCGGGCTGAAGGCAGTGATGTGGCCAATGCAGTTCTGGATGGAGCCGACTGCATCATGCTGTCTGGAGAAACAGCCAAAGGGGACTATCCTCTGGAGGCTGTGCGCATGCAGCACCTGGTGAGTTCTGGGGCCTGCCCCATCCCCTGGGCTTTGGACTGGGCCTGGGATGGATGCAAGCTCTGGTGCAGAGCTTTTTAGGTTTCCATATCCTCTTAGGCACAGCCGTTCATTATCCTCCAAGTTACAGCAGCAAGAGGGTGGGGGTGGAGGTGGAGGTGGCTTTTTTTTTTTTTTTTTCTCCTGTTTTTCATTCCTGCCGACACCCCCACCCCTCCATTTCCTTCTGCTCTGGAGGCATCCTCCTTCACTGGACACCATACAGTTCATTTCACTTCTGACTTCAAGGTGGTGAATCCTTCCCATGGCTTAAGTCCTGGGATACTTCCGCAGTGAAGGGAGATCTTGTCCCTCTTCCTCAGAGTCAGAAGTTTTGAGTACCTTTGCCCTATTCTGAAAAGGGCTCGGGGCTCCTGCTCCCAACTGCCCTCTTCCTTTGGCTTCCAATTCAGTCCCCCGACCCTCCCATCCCGCAGACAGGCGCTCCCCCAGGGAGCCCCTGTGGACCTGCACTGGAGTCTGTTGCCTGCACTGAGCTGCCTGTGCTGGCCTTGCATGGTGCCTATAGGAGGATTTGCTTTGCTGTGCCATTGGGGTACAGCTGCTGCTCTTACAACAGGCCAAAAAGTCAGGTTGAGTGACTGGTGGCAGGGCCACAGATAGAGACAGCAGGGAGGGTGGCTGACCCTGGTGGCCCTGGACTGAGCGTCTGGAGGAGTCGTGGAGGCTCTTTCCCTTCTTTCTCCTCTGAGAGCTCATTCTTCAGGCTCTTCCAGCTTGTCATGTTGAGTGCCTGGCCACTGCTCAGGGTTGGAGACTCAGTCCCTTTGCCCTGTCTGTTCCAGCTCTGGAGCTAACTTGGGGATCCCTGATCAGGGTTACATAGGTTTGGTAAAATGAGTGCTGGAAATTAACTTTCTCCCAGTAGTCTTAGGTCAGGCTCAGTGAACTTCAACTTTATCCAGATATGGTTTTTCTTCAGCCATTCTATTCCCTTTCTAGCCAGTGAAAGACCCGCTGCCCTTTGACCTCAGCCCCTCCAAGCCCCCAAGTTTAAAACACCACCCCCCGCCACCAAAAAAAACAAACAAACAAACAACTAAAACACCCACCTCGTCTGGGCATCTTCCTTTCCTTTTTCACTATGTGTCCTGTTACTGGGCTTAAACAGCTTTCAGAGAAGAGATGTCATTTCTATTAAATGCTCTTTCAGTAGCGAACTGAGTTCATACTTGACTAAGGATATTTTCTGGGCTTCATCAGCATCCTTAGTGGGTTTCCCCATATTGGAATTGGTAGAGGCCAGGGACGGTGGCTCACACCTGTAATCTCAGTACTTTGGGAGGCCAAGGTAGGCGGATCGCTTGAGCTCAGAAGACCAGCCTAGGCAACATGGCGAAACCCTATCTCTACTAAAAATTCAAAAGTTAGCTAGCTGGGCGTGGTGATACATTTCTGTAGTCCCAGCTACTTGGAGAGGGGGTGGTGCTGGGGCAGGAGGATCACTGAACCCAGGAGGTTGAGGTTGCAGTGAACCAAGATGGTACCAGCCTAGGTGACAAAGTGACACCCTCTCTCAAAAAAGAAACCAAACAATCATAAAAAAAGGAAACACAAAAAAATCAGTAGAGAGTGATTTCTCTCCCAGGCCCACTTAACGTAGCCTGGGCCTGGCTGACACCTCACCGTTTGTGCGATGTGATTGCTGTTCTGATGCTGAGATCCTCTTGGCGCAGTCTCACAATTGCCCCATGGTAGGAAGGTGTCCCAGGAGACAGTGCACCTTCAACCACTCACCACTAAAGTGAGTGCCTTTCTGGGTCTCTCCACACGTCCCCTCTCTCTAATTCCCTTACTTAATTGTGTAACTTCATGGCCTCAAAGGTGGGACAGAGGCTGATCTTGACTTAGATTTACTGAACCATGAAATCACTGCATAGAATGTGGAGACTTGAATGTGTTTTTTGGCAAGTCATTTAAATTCTCAAGACCTTATCTGTAAAATGGATTAGATATGTTTAATTATAGCCTTAGCATTAAATATTCATTGCTTTTATTACTAAGTGTCTGATAAGTCTCTGTGTATATGGATGTAATCTTCCTAACTCCCATTACCTCCATTTATAGCTGAGGGTTATATGGCCAATAAAGCCTGGGTTTGAATCTAGGTCTGCTGACTCCAAAGCCAGTCTTCTCTCCTGCAACATCATGCTCTTAGGTCTAGCAGGAGATGAGAACAGGTCTCCATTTGGAGCCTGTCAGTGGGGTCAGAGACTAAGAATCAGGCTCAGCTTCTAAATTTCATGTCCTTTCCTCCATACCCTAGTGTTTCCTATGAACAGACACATACCTTAGAGCTGCAAGGCTTGGATTGCATGGCAGTGCTCAGAAGATAAGTTACAGGTCTGGGCCAGGCTGTAGCTGCCCCTCCAGGTGGCTAGACTTTTCCTTTCTGTGTCACCAGTTAACACTGGCCAACAGTTCCTTCCCTTCACTGTTGATTGCTTTCTCCTGTGTCTAACTGATGCAGTTAATGACGCATAACTAAGAGCAGTAGCAGGTATGGCTCTGTTTCCTGTTCCTGTTCCCTGTCCTCTGGGTTGCATGCATTCCATTCTGATAAAAAGAATACCTTTAACCTAGTACATCCTGCCACACATCTGCTTCTACTGTGAAATTCATGAGGGGCTATTACCGATTCCTCCCTCACCCATCATTTACTTAGATGCTGGCGATTGCATTATAATCCTCTAAAGCTTACATTGTCTTTCTGATTCTTGGTCTTATCTGAGCAAGTGATCTGTAAATAACTCAGTGGCTTTCTCATGACTGTTTTAATCATTAGATTTTAATCAAGTGTCTTATTAAACATATCTGCATGCTTCCACAGACATCTGTCTCTTCACATGGCTGTTCAGTGTGTCTCTCACAAGTTAGCCCAAGTTTTCTGTTCTCCTGCTTCAAACTCAGTTGAGCTGCCTTGCTTTGGCTTGGATCCCAGCTTTCCAGCGCTGCTCAATCTGTTTCCATGGCAGGCCATTGGAAAGGCTCAGTGCATCCCTGTGCCTGAAGCCAAGTGAGCGCTCACTCCGTGCATGCATGGAGGCTGGGCAGGAGTCTGCCTAACCAGACAGCCATGTGAGGAGGGAGGGCCTGTTCCTTTCTGTAAGCTATGTCGTGAGGCAGCGTGATCAAGTCCTCTGCCAGGGAGTGGTGTGGGCCCAGCCTGGGCATGTTTTCATGCCAGAGTGCTAGAGCCTACTGCCAGATTGTCTCCCTCCATCCCCAATCAAATCCTTCCAGAACGGAAGAGCCAATTTCCCCTGTGTTGGAGGGGAAGTGGCAGCACCTCCTGAAGCAGTTGGACTTTCATCACCCTACCTCCGCATCTGCCTGAAGGACAGATTTAGCCAATTAACCTAAGGTTACCTTCCTCTCTGATTAATTCCCCATTCTGTCTTCCCATGTGTTGTGTCTTGTTTTTTTCCTCCTCCTTCCCTCTTCCTTGTCCCCTCTTCCCCTAAACCTTACAGATAGCTCGTGAGGCTGAGGCAGCCATGTTCCACCGCAAGCTGTTTGAAGAACTTGTGCGAGCCTCAAGTCACTCCACAGACCTCATGGAAGCCATGGCCATGGGCAGCGTGGAGGCTTCTTATAAGTGTTTAGCAGCAGCTTTGATAGTTCTGACGGAGTCTGGCAGGTAGGGCCCAAAGGGCAGGTAACACTGCTAGGATAACCAGCCTCTTGCTTCAGCTGTTCCAGGAGAAGACAGCCAGGCCCAACCTGGCACCTGGGCACAGAGCCTCTTCTTGTCTATAGGAACACCGCCAGGGAGGTCATGGCAGGGCAAGATCAAAGGGTCCTGTGGCTCAGTAGGCAGAGCAGATGTCACAGGCACTTGGTGAAGGACTGGTTTCTGTGGAGTCTTGAAATTGGCTCAGCTCAGCATCTCCAGTGACTGGGCTACTCTTGGCCTTTGTCCCTAGGAACATGTTCCTCACCAGCTGTCCGGGTGACTCTTCCCCTCCCTCTCCTTCTGTGACAAAGCTCTGACAAAGCTCTGTCCCCCTCTCGTCCCTCTGGACGGATGTTGCTCCCCTAGATTGCCCGTGAGGCAGAGGCCGCCATCTACCACTTGCAATTATTTGAGGAACTCCGCCGCCTGGCGCCCATTACCAGCGACCCCACAGAAGCCACCGCCGTGGGTGCCGTGGAGGCCTCCTTCAAGTGCTGCAGTGGGGCCATAATCGTCCTCACCAAGTCTGGCAGGTAGGAGGTGGCAGCGGCTCCCTGGGATGCCCCGCTCAGTGGCACCTCTCCTTGGGGGTCCTGGGAGCAGTGCATTGAACAATGCTCAGGTGGCACTGAGCCAAGGTAAGACCCCTCTGCCTGCCACCTTGGGCCTGCAGGGAAGGATTGAGCAGAGCCCCTTCCCTGGGCCCAGAGGACTCTAGGCAGCACACATAAGGAATATCAGAACATTTGGATCAAAAGCAAGTTTATGCTGGAGATTTATTACATAATAGTGCACAGGCTGACTACAAATGGTTATTTGATATTGAAAATTTAGTAGCCAGGCGCTGTGACTCACTCCTGTAGGCCGGGCGCGGTGACTCGTGCCTGTAATCCCAGCATTTTGGGAGGCCGAGGTGGGCGGATCACGAGGTCAGGATATTGAGACCATCCTGGCTAACACGGTGAAACCCCATCTCTACTAACAATACAAAAAGTTAGCCGGGCGAGGTGGCGGGCGCCTGTAGTCCCAGCTACTCTGGAGGCTGAGGCAGGAGAATGGCGTGAACCCATGAGGTGGAGCTTGCAGTGAGCCGAGATCAGGCCACTGCACTCCAGCCTGGGCGACAGAGCAAAACTCTGTCTCAAAAAAAAAAAAAAAAAAAATTTAGTCCTCTTATTTAAAATAGTAAAAGATAACCACTTTTGCTTATTCCAGTTACTATGTGCTCTTTAAAAATTTCAGTTGGGAAAATGAATTTATTTAAATGCTGTTTACTGTGCCTCCATTTGGCGCACTAGTCCCTGCTGTTTTCGAGCCCTAAAGACAAATTGGTTTCCAGCTCAGGAGAGGTTGCTGTGCTATCTTGGCTGACATTCTGTGGGGCCAGGCAGCCAGGCTGAGGACTGTGTGGCCTATGCTGAGCCTCCAACTTGGGATCCCTTCCTTAGCCCAGGACATTGAGTTAATGTCCTTCACTCTCCTAGTTAGGGATTATGCTCCTTGTCCCTGCCCACAGGGCAGCGAGGGTTTCCTGGAGGAGAAGAGCAAACAGGCAGTGCCCACGCACTGAGGAGCAGCAGGTGGGCATGGGCAGCCCAGAGAACCAGGACACAAGCTCTGTGCAGATGCCCTCAGCAGAGGGCTGCAGCCTCCACTCTTGGCTGAACAGCTTCAACCAGTAGGGTTGACCTTTCTTAAAAGGTCCAGTTCTTGCTGTTTGGCTATTTTAAGCTCTAGTCTTCTGGGGTTTCACTCAGCTGGTCCTAGCTTCAGCAGTTGCTTCCCTCTGATGGCCTTGCATATAGGCCAAGCGTGAAGTGCAGGGACTTCTCTGCTATGATATGGCTTAAGTTTCCCTGACACCTGTTGAGTGTCCTCATAACTTCCCTTCTGGTGCCCCTCCCCAGCTCCTGAGACACAGCTGCAGCTACAAGTGTGCAGTGTCAGTGTTCAAGAAAGCGCCTGGCACAGGGGCTTCAGAAGGGTCCCCTGCCTTCCAAAGGAGCTTTGGCAGGCAGAGCTGCTCCTGCACCAACACTCCCATTTCCTGTTCTTGCCTGCTGAGTAGCACTTAGATTTCTAAGCCTCACCTAGATACTCAGATTTGACTCTGGGCCTTTATAGCCCAGTTGCTGGACTGTTTCAGGAGCCAGGGGCCATGTGGGACAGGGAAGAGGGCACAAAAGTAGAGAAGCCTGATGTTGATTCCCATGGGGCTGGTCAGCTCTGCTACTGCTCTACATGCTACTTGGCTTGTAGGTGTCACCGGCAGCGAGAGGAATGGGTGCTGGTGACACTGGGCCAGGGCTGCCTGTCTGTGTCAGAGTGTAGGAGGGGTTCTGCCAACCATGGGCTGTGTGAGATAAGTGGGTGAGGCTGACCTTGGGTCAAGATAATCCTGGGTCAAGATAATCCTGGGCCCTTGGCCTGTGGAGTGGGGATAGAGGGCAGATGGTAGCCTAGCCTGCTATGGAGGATATAGGATGAGGGACTGCCCTAGCCTTGGGAGGGGTCCTAGGGAGCAGATGTTGAAGAGGCCAGAGCCATCAGTGAGCTGGGTGAGAGGATGAGCTGTTTGAATGCCCTGAGGTACTTCCTGGGGCCTTGTGTAATGGTCTCTTCTGTATGTCCCCCATCCCATCTCAGGTCTGCTCATCAGGTGGCCAGATACCGCCCACGTGCCCCCATCATTGCTGTGACCCGGAATCCCCAGACAGCTCGTCAGGCCCACCTGTACCGTGGCATCTTCCCTGTGCTGTGCAAGGACCCCGTCCAGGAGGCCTGGGCTGAGGACGTGGACCTCCGGGTGAACTTTGCCATGAATGTTGGTACGTGGCTGGAGCAGGGGCTAGAGCCTAGAGGGGTTTGGGGATGCTTGAGCATTGGCTTCTGTGGGACCCTGAGGGTTTGGGGAATAGAAAGGGAAACATAGAGGGGCAAAAGGCCCAGCTGACTGTTCCTCTCCCTTATTGGGAATGTTCTTTCTGAATCTGTCATTCCCGGAAGTCCTAAGCTGAGCCCAGGAGGGAAAAGGGTCCTTTGAGTTGTAGGGTTGAGCAGTTCCTTTCCTCTTCTCTTCTAGTCTGGGACTCAAAGCAAAATTGTCCATTCTTTGGCATCTGCTCATTACTGAGGGTTTTGTTTTTGTTTTTGTTTTTGTTGTTTAAATAAAATTGGCTACAGCTCCCGTGCTGTGGGGTGGCATACACAGATTATGTACTGATGTGGCCATTGTCCCTGTATAAGGTAGGGTATCACCGGATGACAGGAAGCAGCTAGCTTTTGACCCTGGGCAAGGCTTTGCACCCTCTGGAGGATGAAGTGAAAGATGTCCAAAGGTCCCTGCCAACCCTGCCAACCCTGCCATCTGAGTGATAAGGACATTTCAGGGCCTCCCTCCTGTTTGCCTGGGCTGTAAGTTTGGTGCCACCTTGTGGTGTGAGGAAGTAGTGGTCAGCCAGCCTAGTTCAGTGCTCAGGCTATGGGGCAGCTGCCCAGGTGCACACCTGCCTGGCTTGGCTTTTACTTACCAATCTCCCTTCTCTTCCTCCAGGCAAGGCCCGAGGCTTCTTCAAGAAGGGAGATGTGGTCATTGTGCTGACCGGATGGCGCCCTGGCTCCGGCTTCACCAACACCATGCGTGTTGTTCCTGTGCCGTGATGAACCTGAGAGCCCTTCCTCCAGCCCCTGTCCCACCCCCTTCCCCCAACCCATCCATTAGGCCAGCAACGCTTGTAGAACTCACTCTGGGCTGTAATGTGGCACTGGTGGGCTGGGACACCAGGGAAGAAGATTAGTGCCTCGCTGAAACATGGCTGTGTTTGCAGCCTGCTTAGTGGGACAGCCCAGAGCCTGGCTGCCCATCATGTGGCCCCACCCAATCAAGGGAAGAAGGAGGAATGCTGGACTGGAGGCCCCTGGAGCCAGATGGCAAGAGGGTGACAGCTTTCTTTCCTGTGTATACTCCGTCCAGTTCCTTGAGAAAAAAATGGATGCCCAGAGGACTCCCAACCCTGGCCTGGGGTCAGGAAACAGCTAGAGAGTTAGGGGCCTTAGGGCAAGGGGCTGTTGTTCCCTTGAAGCTGACTCTGGCCCTGGCCCTTACTTGCTTCCCCAGCCCCCTGGGCCTCCCCAGTTCGCATCTGTCCCCGCCCTCCACTCAGCTGTCCTGCAGCAAACACTCCACCCTCCACCCTCCACCTTCCATTTTCCCCCACTACTGCAGCGACTACTGCAGCGCCTCCAGGCCTGTTGCTATAGAGCCTACCTGTATGTCAATAAACAACAGCTGAAGCACCTGTTTCTTCTCTTTTCTGCTGGGGAGGGGGAGGTGGTTGAACCCTGGCCTCTGAGCAGGCTGGGAATGGCTGCAGCCTCATGCCCTGCAGTGGAGCTATGGTGGTGTCACCTGCCATCCTGCCCACCTCCTGGTGCAGAGGCGCTGGGAAAGCAGTAGCTGATTATCTTAGGGTTACAGGTTGCCCCCTTCAGTGCTGCGGGGAGACCTTAATGGCTTATGTGAACCAAAGATGGGAAAGAGCAGGGACAAGGCCTCCTCCCTCCCACTCTGGTAGGTAAATTTAAATAGCAAAGTGGCCCTGGCCGTGGTTCTTCCACTTTGGTCTCCCTGCAATAGCATATCCCTTATGGGGGCTGTAGGAGAAGTCAGCTCTGGGCGCCTGAGACTGGGTTCTGCTCCCAGGTCCTCAGTTGTGGACCTAGGCTCCCCTTGTGACCCCTCCTGTTTGCTGGTGCTCTCCCACCGTGATGCCGTAGTGCCAAGGGGTTGGGGGAGAGAGTTGGAAATGGGACCAAATCTGGCCTGCGCCTTTTCCCTCTCCTGATCACACTCCCGAGGACCAAGTGACCTGGTGGGGATGGAAAAGGAAAGGGCCTGCAGGCCAGGCAAGTTGGGGAATAGGACCTGTGGGCCCATTATCACTGCTCAATTCAGCCCAGCTCATTGTCACACACTGAGCTGCGCCTCTGCTTCCCTGCCTTTGATTTGTGTCCACCTTCATCCCCTTCGCAGACTCCTCCAAAGGTGCATTTCCTTAGAGACTGCAATGTTAACTCCAGCAAGAGTGCGTGGGAGCATCCTGGCTCCCGGGCTCGTGGTGGTGACTTGGCTGTCAGACCGTGGTGTTCAATATGCCCTTTGGTGTTCCCCACTCATGGTAAAATTGAAACTTACCCTGGAGCTCGATGTTGGGAAGGGTTAGGTTGGAGAGGGGCCGGAATCGGTTCCTGCAGAGGGACCCAAACTCCAAGACTAGGAGGACAGAAGCGTCCAGAGGGGACACAATACCCTCGACGTGAGGGACAGGAGGTACCGCGCCAGGCCCTGGCCTCCGGGACCTTCCAGTCCCGGACCTTCCAGTCTCGGGGACCGAGCGCTAGGATCTGCTCAGAGCTTGGGGCCCCACCTGGGGAAGGTGGGGAAGGAGGGAAGCTGGGGAAGCTGTGGAAGGAGAGGGAGGAACGACCAATGGGCTGG